TAACGTATGTATGTTTGATATTGTCCATGAAGTCTAAAGATATCAGCTCTACAAGTACTTCTAGGGATACCTTTAAATAAAGGATTGTAAATCCTTTGAATATACATAATAAGATATGATGAAGAAGCAAAAGAAAAAGGTAGACAACCCAAAGTAATCATTTTTGCTAACTCCTCACGATCCTTCATTTTATCATATTTCACAATACCACCAGTAGTAGGGTTTAGAGTTGATTGATTTCCATCTCCAACAGATCCCCATTCTATAGGATGCTCAATTCTCATGTCTACTAAGTGTCCTAGTCCCCCCTAATTGACCCCCAGTCTTATGTTTAAAAGTATCATTACAAGGTTTACATTTAACTCTATCAGTACCTTCTATTTCCTCAAAGAATTTCCAAACCTTACTTCTTTTTCTACGATTACTAGTCGGGGCCACAGGTGATCTACTACTAGCAACACGACCACCACCCCTGCTAGCAGCTCCAACACTACTAGGTGTAAGTGGTATCTCATCTTCCATTTCTAATTCATTATCATCTATACCAAAATCTTCCTGCAATTGTTCATAGTCTATATTATTATCAGGTAATGTTTCAGGAATATCTGGAGAGGTATTTAAATTACTACCAGATGCTGAACCTGAAGTACTACCTCTTTTTTTATTTCCCCGATTAGTAACTTTGTTACAAACTCTTTTTGCAGCATTAAACATATTGTAAAAATTTAACTACTAGCAACAAAACAAATAAATATGCAAGTAAAATAGTAAATAAGAGAAAGAGTTGGAGGGAGTGCACCGAATTCGGCAATAAATTGAGCACTTGATGATTCCGCAACTCAAATGTTACCACGAAGAAACGTCAATTCTTCCAATTTTGAAGTTCAATTGTTCAAACTTCAAAAAATAAGTACTACGATAAATTAAATTCCAATAAAAATAGCCAAATAGTTGATTGCACTTTAATAGGTGAAGAATGAAGATTGAAGAATGAGAGAATATGAGAATTGAGATTGAGAATTGAGTGAAAAAATGAAGAAGAGGGAGGGGTATTTATAAATTTTGAAAGGGGGGTTAATTTTTTTTTTAAAAACCCAAAATTGGGCTATTTGTGCAATTCACCCGTTGGGCAACGGCCATTTTTTGAAATGGACCGTTGCCAACGGTCAGATCTGGCCCAAATTAAAAAAAAATTAATTTTTTTTTACCGTTAAACCGGGCCGGTTAACCAGTTTACGGGTACTGTTCACCTAACGGGTTGGACCGGTCTGGGTAATCGATATTTTAATGGTAAACGGACCAACCCGCCTGTCCCCCCTAACCCAGCCCAACCCATCCCTCTTTAACCGGTCCGGGCCGGTTTCGATTTTAACCAGGCTGGGTCGGTCCAGAACTGGGTTGACCCGGCCCGTTTAACACCCCTAGTATAGAGTGTATTGGATATATCGAAGAGTACAAGACCCAAGTGTTTTATGATAAATTCTGCCGGGTCAAATAAATTAATGGGCCAATATACAAAGTTTGATATTCAGGCCCAATGTAGAAAGAAGAATGGGCTGCCTAATACAAGAAAATTATTCGACCCACTTCAATATAGGATTCTTGACATACCTGGAACTTTACTCAATCCTTCCAGAATGTTCAATAATCCAGCTGTAGATATTATTTAGTATTAAACATATTGACATTTTTACATAAGACAAAAGGTGGTTAGGACATAGCCTCTTAAAATAAGACAAGTATCAATACATAGCTGTATTTAAACTTATATTCTTTTCTACACATACTTGTATATAAAAGGAACACTGTACAGATTCTAATGATGAAATGAAAAAGGGAATTTTCTTAAATTCTGATACGGTATCAGAGCAAGGAACAACTTATTGAATTTTCTTCTCTTTCAAATTTTCTTCTTCTTCAATCTTTCTTTCTTCACTGTTTTCTTTGAGCTACATCCAATGGCACCTTCATCAGATGATGGAAGCACTACTGTTGACAAAGGAAACACTTCTACTCGAACTGGTAACACAGTTCTCACTGATTCTTCACATCCTTTTTACCTTCATCCCTTAAA